CTTCTTTATTTACTAAAAATTCTATAAAAATTAAAGAAGAACTTGATTTTACATAACTTCACCAACATTTGAAAATACTAAATAGACATTTTAGACTTTGTTTACATCAGTACATATTTGTAAATATGCAGACTTTATGCATATTATTATAAAGCCTGTGGTTTTATAAGATGAAGCGTTCGACGAGCTGCTAACAGCTCTGCTAAAGCAGACGTAGAGTCAGCAGGAAATGATGCTCTGGGAGCCAACAGTTTCTCTGACAGGTAATCTGATCTGTTGTGTGTCCGTGTTGTCCTGAACATACATGTTTAAACTGGAAACACGTGAGCGTTTCTCCACAGAGCCCTCTTGTTTCTTCCCACTCTGCTCCACCGAGAACAGACTTCCCTGACATTTATAAATGACATGGTAACTCTGAGGCTCAGAGCCACAGCTTCTCTACAAGAATAAGCTGTCAGTTCACCAAACACCATATAAATTACACAGCATCACCTTCTTTCCATTTGTCTAGGGGCCACTGTGAAATTTATGACTCAGTGTTTCTTCTGAATGTTCTGGAAAAACTCTGTTCATCGTGAGAGAGCAGAATACTACTGTTTTAATTTTGTTCTCACCTTCATTGTATCACATTCAGCCACATCATTAGTTCTTGTTTTATCTGAGGCTGAAATATTTAGAGGAATTTAATGTGAAAACCTTTTTTTCAGGGTGAAATGAGGATTCTGGCTTCACAAGGAAAGTCTTAGTTTAATGTTTAATTCCTTTATTGTTAATGTTTCCTACTAATAATCAAACTGTAAAGTTTCAGCCTAAAGCTATAGGTTGTAAATATAAACACGTAATGACAGGAAGTGCATGGGATCTTACAGCTGCCTGGGGGAAAATGTATTTCTCCTATAATTACTTAAGTTTCAGAGGAGGAGGTGTTTAGAATGAAATATTAGCATTTTTCTAAGTCATCTTGAAATGATTTAACATTAAAACACTTTATGAAAGATGGGGACATATACTATCATTATTACTTGGTATGAAAACTATTTTACTGTTTGATTGTGTCTTTGTAAACGTAAGATGTGAGATGTTTTCTCAGTGGGATATTCCCTTCTTTAAAACAACCTGATGTAAAATCCTGCTGTGGGCCTGATACTGACTGAGCTGTGGCAACAAACAGCTGACAGGAATGTTGCAGGAGTGCAGATTTATTATTAAAAACATGAAAATATCACAAATGTAGGGAAATAATATATGGATTATGCACTTTTTTGGGACATGTACAACATCAAAAAAATTAGAATTTAGTCGACGTATGATGTAAAATCCACTTTTTCAGCCATTAAATACTTTTTGCGTGTACTTGAAGTCTCTAGGACTTTCTCTAGGAAGCAGAAAGTTGAATTTAGTCTCTCTTGGAGCTGCAAATATATCTTTATTTTCTGTTTGATGTGTGAAGAGACAGCATCAAAACGAGTTGATCTGAGACACGCCTCAGTAAAGGGGTGAAAGAGGGGCTTGTGGAGTTACAATAACCAGGAATTCAAAGCATTTGCAGTTCCACTTTATATAAGTAGACCCCAACTGAATGATTTAAAATATGAGAATGAAAGATTTAAAAGCATTATATGTCTCCTTTAAAGCTGATTAAACGAAACACTTTTTAATTCTATATTTTTTCTGTTAGTGACAGAGGTGTTCGATTGTCAAACACGCACATCAGTTTGTGTCTGCACTGTTTTGTGTAGGAGATTAAAAAGGATCCTTCACTTTCCGTTTTAAAGAGAATATTTGCTCAGATTTTATACAATTCAATGAGGGTTTGGGCGTGTGCACGCTGCAGTCTGGAGGGATTTGTAAGAAAAATAACAAATCTTACAACAGCGAGACATATTGGGTAAAATGACACAAAACCTCTGCCATTTTGATGCATTAACTATATTATAAATGTAAAGTTTGTGGAAATAAAGAGTTTGCAAAAGTGTTGTAAAGTTTTAACAGCTCAAAGGTTAAACATCCTTTAAACATTCTGGGTTAAAGTGCCGGTGACATGAATTTTTTAAAAAATAAATATGAAGTAATTATTGGAAAGATAACATTATTAGCATATTCCAAAAATAATTTCCCGCTGCTGAGATGAACAGTTGTTGAGATATTTGCATGTGAAGGAACAGGAAGTGATGTCAAAGGGGAATGCCTGCATGGAACAAAGCATTGATGAAATAGCTAACGACACAGACTATAGAGAAGAATCTGATGTTTCTTTAGATTATTTTGAATCATTATCAGAAATAGATGAAGACGAGTCAGAGTTCAAATAATATTGTTCCAATAAACAGAGATTACAGAGTTCTCTTTCTTAAATAGTTCCCCTTTGATGTCACTTCCTGTTGCACTTTGGCTGAGCTAAGTTCAAAAGAAAATATGCCATTTATGTGACAAAATAGGTAAAATCCCATGTTTTATGCAAGGTTTCTTGTATAAAAATGTGTTTTCTTTGACTTTTTGTATTTGATAGATAGGTATGTCACAAGCACTTTAAATTCTTTGTAAATCATAGAAATTAAAATGGGATTGTGCGGAATTTAAAGAGTATCAAAATGTCAGTTCAGCCATTTTCCTACAAATCTTTGTTGTGTAGATTTCTCTAAAGTTGTCGGTGGAGTGGCAAATCAAAATGTGACAGAAAGAAGAATAACAGTTAAGTAATAATGAATGTGCTAATGAGCAGAAATGATCAGCGACGTAAACAAAAACAATTTGCTGATCAAACTGTAGTTACAGAGAACACCTTACTCCAGACTTAAAAACATGTTAAAGAAAGAGACTCCCATTAAATCTCATTCTTCCACCAAACATCCAGTGTCAGATTGTTTAAACATTCCTGTCTGAAGCCATCCATCAGCCAGACAGGAAGACCGGTTCCATCCCACAAAACTCCCCAAAGTCCCCAGCAGGCTTTTCCTTTTAGACTGCCCTGACCGCTGTTGTGTTTCTGCTGTTTGTTTTTCAGTGTGCCAGCTAACGCCTCGTCAGTGCACCCGCATCTACTCTGAAACCAAAAGTGTACCGGTGTGGGAGGGCGGAGTCTGCCGCTACCTGTAAGTCCATCAGGCCGCACACCTAACCCTGATAAATATACGTGACCCGTCACATCCAGCTGAGGGTGAAGTCCAGTTTAGTCAAAATGACCTCAGCGTATTTTCAGATTCCTGTTTTTTAATCTACATTTTGATCATCCTGATAGCATGAGGTGTTCACAGATACTTGATTTGTTTTCCTAATCAGGAGAACTCAGTGGTGTTTGGTCTGAATCTGATTTTTAGGCATTTCTAATGAAAACCTTCGATGTGATGGGTCACACATTTGTGAAACTGTTTGTAATCCGATGGCTCAGATAAGTAATTTTTTGACTTGGCAGGTACAAGAGGATATATAAAGTACAGCAGGATGTGTGTTACCGCGAGACGTGTGAACCAGTGCTTCCCAAGAAAAGTCAAAGTAAGCTCAACAACCATTCTGAAACTGATGAAGTTATTGTCATTAGATAAATATGTTTAACAGTTACGTTAACTTTCCAAACAGCCAGAAGAAGATCCAGACAAAAATGAAGGTTTGTTTTCTTGAATAAATAAAAGCAGACAGGGGTTGGACAATGAAACTGAAACACCTGGTTTTAGACCACAATAGTTTATTCGTATGGTTTAGGGCCTCCTTTTACGGCCAATACGGTATCAATTTGTCTTTGGAATGACATATACTAGTCCTGCACAGTGGTCAGAGGGATTTTAAGCCATTCTTCTTGCAGGATAATGGCCAGGTCACTACGTGATGCTGGTGGAGGAAAACGTTTCCTGACTTGCTCCTCCAAAACACCCCAAAGTGGCTCAATAATATTTAGATCTGGTGACTGTGCAGGCCATAGGAGATGTTCAACTTCACTTTCATGTTTATCAAACCAATCTTTTACCAGTCTGGCTGTGTGTATTGGTGCATTGTCATCCTGATACACAGCACCGCCTTCAGGATACAATGTTTGAACCACTGGATGCACATGGTTCTCCAGAATGGTTCAGTAGTCCTTGGCAGTGACACGCCCATCTAGCACAAGTATTGGGCCAAGGGAATGCCTTGATATGGCAGCCCAAACCATCACTGATCCACCTCCATGCTTCACTCTGGGCTTGCAACAGTCTGGGTGGTACGCTACTTTGAGGCTTCTCCACACCATAACTCTCCAGGATGTGGGGAAAACAGCAAAGGTGGACTCATCAGAGAACAATACGTTTCACACTGTCCACATCCCAAGATTTCCGCTCCTTGCACCAATGAAAGTGACGTTTGGCACGAGTGACCAAAGGTTTGGCTATAGCTGCCCGGCCGTGTAAATTGACCCTGTGGCGCTCCCAATGGACGGTTCTGGTGGAAACAGAAGAATTGAGGTGCACATTTAATTCTGCCGTGGTTTGGGCAGCCGTGATTTTATGTTTTTTGGATACAATTCAGGTTAGCTCCTGAACATCCCTTTTAGACAGCTTCCTCATGCATCCACAGTTAATCCTGTTGGATGTGGTTGGTCCTTCTTGGTGGTATGCTGACATTACCCTGGATACTGTGGCTCTTGATACATCAAAAAGACTTGCTGTCTTGGTCACACATGCACCAGCAAGACATGCACCAACACATTGTCCTCTTTTGAACTCTGGTATGTCACCCATAATGGTGTGTGCAGTGCAATATTTTGAGCAAAACTGTGCTCTTACCCTGCTAATTGAACCTTCACACTCTGCTCTTACTGGTGCAATGTGCAATTAATGAAGATTGACCACCAGGCTGGTCCAATTTAGCCATGAAACCTCCCACACTAAAATGACAGGTGTTTCTGTTTCATTGTCTAACCCCTGTAGTTTTTTGTTTTATTAACCCTGCATATCCACTTGTTTTTCCCAGATTTACCCATAAAAAGCTGTTTCTTTTATCCCTTCTTCCAGAGCACCTGGATGCTGTTGACAAGACGTTGGGTACTGTCGTGTAAAAACCTCCTAGCTTCAGTTTTCGGTGTATATAATCTACTTGAAGTATCTGATGATGATTGTTTTGTGCTGAGAACCCTGTCACAACCCACTGTAGTAGAAACAAACATTCATCTGAAGATGCCTGCCTCTGTGCGCTCCACGCTCCATCTTTTAATGTGCCTCGTTGAAGAGAGTCCCAGCAGAAGTGACCCACATCGGTTTGCTGGCTGACGTCTCACGCAACAGATCTGACGAGCAAATATCGAAAAGCAGCGTATAAAAGACGTTGTATACCTCATTCCCATGTCCGTGCTGACACATTAAAGGAGGCTTTTATTTGTGGTTCAGCTGCAGATTTGTCCCTCAGGGAAATCACAATAAAGTGCTCAAAGTTTTTTTTAAGTTTTGAGCTTTTCAGAACTGACAGGAAGTGTGCAGCAGCTTCAGGAAGATTTCAGACTTTCTTAATGTTTTGCACTTTTCTAACGTCGCCAGGTGCTACGTTATAATTATTTTGTTATTTTCATGACTCTGCTCAGTATCCCATAATGACAAAGCAATAACTGCATTTTATACAGGTTTGTAAGTTTACTAAAACGAAAACACTGACTTATCACATGTCCATAATGATTCAGGCCCATTAAAAGTTTGATCCTCAAGTATTTTAGGGTTTGTGCAACAAACTTTGCACTCCTGGATTGAGGATCTTTTTCCGTTTTTCTTTGCAAGTCTTTTCAAGCTCAGTCTGGCTGGATGTGGGTCATCTGTGGAGAGGGAGTTTCAGATCTCCAGGTTGAAGTCAGAGCTCTGGCTGGTCCACTGTAGGGCGTTCAGACCTGTCTCTACTGTGTGGTCTTCTCTGCAGGCTTTGGGTCATTGTCATGTTGGAAGGAAAATTTTGGCCAAAGGGCAATTTGGACCCGCCCTCCCGCAAAAACATACGCCAGGAACTGCAAAATACTTTTTCATCTATAGGTCCAATCACACGATAACATTTCAATTTTAGAGAACTTATGCCAACTAGGCAACTTGGTTAAGAAGACGTCACCTTCATCCGTCGTCTGCGTGAACGATGTAAACAACTAACGAACCAAAATTTTATACATTAATTTTTATGTAATACTTTTCCAAAACACAGGGAGCTGCAGTACACTGTGGTCTTTAGCTCAGTAGTGTCAGGTGTTCCCTCAGCCCTGACCAGTCTCCCAATCCCCGCTGCTAAAAAAACACCCCCACATCATGATGCTGCCACCACCATGCTTTACTGTTAGGATGCTGTTGGACAGGTGGACTCTTGAGAATCTTGTGTCTTCAAGAAATAATCTGCTGAACACTGATTTCTTGTTCCAACTTTTATGTTTTGTACAAATACGTTTAGCTTCCAACAGATGGACTCAAATTAAGGTATAGAAACATTTTAACAATCATCAAGAAACATAGGACCTGAGCTCAATTTTAGGTGTTGCTGCAGAAGATCTGTGCACTTATGGAAATATTACTTCAGTTTTTTTATTCTTTTAATGATTTTACTAAGTTGTATGAAATTCTGTTTTCCACTTCGGTACTACAGGAAACTGAGTGCAGATCATCCGAAATAGTTCAATAATTGTAGCTTCAGGCTGTAACGTAGTAAAGCTGCAAAAAGTGAAAACTTTCTGAAGCTTCTGTCAAAGTTCAACACAGCCCATAAATCCATGTCCTCTGACAAAGGCGCACAGTTTTCTATGTAAGATATCTTACTCTGTGTCTCAGCAGGCACCGCTCTGTAAATAGTGTTTATAGGTTGTTTTGTAGGTGAATATTTTAATAATAAAAAAGATCAAATGTTTTAGTTTTCCTGTGTTTTTTGTATGATTTCTCCTTTCATCTTTTGTTACTTCACATCAAATTATTTATACATAAATGCAGAAAATTTCACAACTAAAGCAGACAAAGGAGTAGTCTCTCAGCCTGAGATATTACAAAAACATTTTTTTAAAATTTAGACTTTGTGTTACAGCTGCATGTGCTTACAATTAATTGCTGAGTAAATAAAACAAAAAACATTCAGTGAACTAAACTACGGTAGTTTTTAACTGCTTATGATGAAGAAAAACGTTCCTGCAGAGGTGTGTTTTTTGTTTTTCATTATAAATTATCTCAATCATCAATGAAATCCCAGCAATCAGAAGTAACAAAAAAGTGATTACTTTTAAGTAACAACCTGTGTGATGATGGAGGAAGAGCACCAGTTTTTCTCACTTTCACAGCGTATAATGTCAGTCAGTCCAGGCATGGGCAGTCCTGGTCCTGGAGGTCCGCAGCCCTGCATGTTTTACTTGTTCCTCTGCTCCAACACACCTGATATGAATGAAAAGATGATTATCAGGCTTCTGCAGTATGGAGGACCACAACTGACATAATTAGAAATAAAAGCAGAATTAAATGAACCACTAAATAAATACACCTAAATGCACCAATTAAATTTAAAAAGGAGAACTTTATCTCCTGTTTTATATTTTGACTGATTTTCATATTTATTTTTCCAGGTTAGTTTCAGTAAATTAGTCTATATATTTGAACACACAATTTAAATTTTACTGTTTTTTAAATATATATAATTTTTTCCTTTTACATGTACATGCATTTGTGTGTCTTAAATGTTTATACTTAATTCTTTTTATATTTTTTCCAACAAGTCTTTTTATTTCTATGTGTTGCATGCTTGTGCTGCCTCAGTTTAGCTAAGAGTTAAAGTTTAGTTTAAAACAAAGGCAAGGAGGAAAACATTACTTGTGCATTTTTTTAAACTAAACTTTAAGGTAAACTGCGGCAGCACAAGCATGCAACACATAGAAATAAAAAGACTTCTTAGACAAAATTATAAAATAATTCAATTTAAGCATTCAAGAGACACAAATGCATGTACAAGTAAAAGGAAAAAATATGTAAAATATATATTGAAAATCATTAAAATTTAAATTGTGTTAAAATAAATAATTTATTGGAACTAAGCTGGAAAAATAAATCYGATGGTCAATTAAAATATGAAACATGAGGTAAAGTTCTCTYTTTGAATTTATTTGGTGCATTTGAAATGTATTTATTTATTTAAAGGTTCATTTATCTATTTCTGCTTTTATTTTTAATTATGTCAGTTTCAGTCTTCCATACTGCAGGACTTGGAAGAGGTAGTTCAGTGACTGAATCAGGTGTGTTGGAGCAGAGAAACATGTAAAACATGCAGGGCTGCGGCCCTCGAGGACCAGGATTGCCCACCCCTGGTTTAGTCTGTACGTGATGCAATGAACTAAAAATAAATAATAAAAAAAGCAGGTGTCATATTAAAAAAGTACAAATCTACAATACACTACAGAATTGTGCAGAAAGGGTCATAAAATTACTTGGAAGGTATGAAAATAATTACAATCATTTATAATGTTTATAGAGTGCCAAATCTTACAAACTGTAAAAGACCCGGAAAATCTGAAGTTACAGGAAACAGCTGCTTTTCATAAATAAATAAACAAATAAATAAAACAGTTAATGTTTTCCCTCCATTTAGATTACAGACTATTTAGAAAAATGAGAGAATATGGTACATTTGTCACATTTCTTATAGAGTCACTGCTTGTAAATGTTTGTAAACTTGGAACAAAAAGTTTTCTTTGTTCTTACAAAGCTTCTTGACAATAAATTTCATAGTGGGCCCTTGATTGGCAGCGCCTGGAGCTACCAGAAGCTCAAAACAAGAGTCAATAAGAACAGAGCTGTTTGACAGATGTGCACAACCCTCATACTCAGCTCCACTTATCTCATCCCACAAATGCGTGTTCCTTACAAATGTGGCACCGTTTAAAAGAGAAATTAACAGGCATTCCAACAGTATAAGATTTATTGTCAAGAAGCATTGTTACAACAAAGAAACAATCTACCAAGCACCAACTTATTGACTTTTTGTGCTGTTTTTTTATTTTTTATTTTTTATTTGGCCTCAGTCCATCAGACTTGTTTTAATCAGTGTAGGAATTTGGAGTACTCTGAGCAAACATATCACTATATCTTCACTATTTTCTCATATATTTTACAGAAAATACATGAATATGAACTCATGCTGTGTACACATCATTATGTGCCGCTGGAAAACTTGGAAACAAGTATTTGGAAGAGAAACAAAGGTGCGAAAAAATATTTCCGACAGCACCTGAAAGCAACATTCCACCTCGGCGGCGGCGGTGGGAGCTGCGTCCTCGACGCCCCCCTCCCCTCCGAGAGTCCCGGGTGAAAATTGAGGAAAAGCAACGGGAGGACACACCGAGGAGGATGTGTTAGCTAGTTGGACACTTTTATTCGTTCGTTTCGTTTTCAGCTCGCGTAAATAAATGTGCCTCAACGTCGCGACATCCAATGTGCGTTTCATTCGGCTGGAAAACGTCGTAAACCTTGTGAACGTTCAGGCGGTGAACTGCAGTCTGACCGCGGAAGGTTAGCACAACTACACTAAAGTTAGCCCGCTTCGGCTAACTTAGCCTATATCAGCTAACACGAAAAAGACACGAAACCCCGACTTGCTCGGCGATCGGGCGGCTCAGGTAAAAGCGACGCCGCGACGGAAAATGTAACTCGTAATGTTTCCTCCCGGGATTAACTTCAGGGACGGATGAGAAAGAGATTGTCGACGGGCGAACAGCGAGCACGACCGCACAGCGAGCCCGACGAGCGCTGCGATGTTGGGGTCGACTCACAGCTCCGGCCGCCCGTGGGGATCCCCAGGCTGGCCACACTCGGTGCTTTGGAGGCTCGGGGGCTTCTTCTTCCTCCTGCTGCTGGAAGGCGCCGGCTGCCTCGCCAACCCCGGCAGCTCCTCAGCCAACAACAACAACCAGCCCAGTGTCAACATCTACATGAGTGTGGAGGAGGTGAAGAAGCTTTTAGGTAAGAAGAAGGCCTCTCCAAATGTTGTGTGTCTGTGTATGTAACCACACAGCTCATATGAGCTGAACTGTATATATA